GAGCGGAGGAGCGGCATGGTGTGGGAACATTTTGGAAGGTTGAAGACCAGATGACCGGAGACGATACCGCTTATCAATCTGGTCTTTTATCGGTTCTTTTGGAGAAAAAAAAAAGGTAAACTAACTAAACAAATTGTGAACAAAACTAACATTGCTTTTTATTTAAATTAAATACATAATATTTCACATCAAAAGAAACAACAATGTTTTAACAAATCGTATTAGAAAATTCCAAATGCAGATACACAGACTGATTTTCATTGTACCTCCGCCATCTCCACCGTGTGTGTGTGTGTTGCTGCATGTATCAGCTGCGTGTGTAAACTGCCCCGCCCCCTCGCACACAGACGGGGGAGAGAGATCTCTCGTCTGGATTGGAAAGATCGTGAAAAATACAAAAAATAATTTGACGCATTTCCCAGTCTTTTTGCATCTTAGAAACGGAGTTGGCGACACTAAAACTGCAATATAATGTTTGTGTAGCAATAATACATATTACATATTTTTTTACATGTCTCCAGTACCGATAAAAAGACTGTTAACGTCGGAGCTTAATGGTACCACGGTCTTTAATAAGTCAGCCCCGGGGCCCGTTTAATACCGGGGCTCGGTACCCATCCCTAGTTATGATAGTAGGTTATGTCTGTTTTCATGTATAGAGTTACTTTTGTCTCCTTTGCTTTTTCTTGTTTTACTCAAAACTAAGTGATGTTTTTAATTATTGTACTGTACAGTATGTTTTTTATGTTGACGCCAGAAAGAATTGTATTACACATTGTGGTAGATAAGCATAAACAAAAGCATCGAAGCAGCACAGAACAGCAGAGGCAGGCTGTGATAATGTGGAGACAATGAGCAGAGCTATCTGTACATTAGTTTTATAATTATGGAGTAGCTCTGGAATATTTTCTCAGTACGACACACACACACACACACACACACACACACACACACACACACACACACACACACACACACACACACACACACACACACACACACACACACACACACACACACACACACACACACACACACACACACACACACACACACACACACGAATGAGGGCACGGTGACATGGGATTCATTATTCATTACATAAACAGAACATCACAATTGTGAACATGTAACGAGCTCGAGCTGCACTCACCCCAGCACTGACTTTCCCGTTTCCTCCGGCTTGCGAACTGTGAAGGGGCTTGGATCAACTCCAACGGTCTTGGGCATAAATTCCCTTTATGAACACAAATTATAAGGCAACCCATCACAATTACAAATAATTTGTTACAGTTTAAATCCAAAGTGTTTACCATCAAAACAACAGGGGCGCTTTCATTTAATTTCACAATGTTTAAGCAATAACTGTTACACTGTAGTTAGCTAGAAAATATAGTGGATTGCAGATTATCACTCAGTCCATTTTGATTTAGTTTTATGTTTCAAATGTATCTTTAAGTGTCTAAAGAGTTGCGAGTGTATTTACCTTGCAGAGTTGGTCATGGCGATGCAGAATGTGTCGTCAAAGGAGGTCAGTTCATAGGGTCTGAAGAACTCTGTGTAGATGTCTATGCTCTCCTCAAAGCGGTTCACTCTCTTCACTTTGACCTTCTTCATGTTGTCCTCACAGGGGACTGCATCCACACAGGAGCGCAAATCAAACGTACAGAAAAATCAATTATCAAAAGGAAAACAATAAAGAAAGTCCTGTTGATATTATGTCAGCAATGCCCATGAAAAAAACATTAGAACAATGAATGTCCCCTCCAAACATGTCCCATCTGTGTAATTAATGCCACATCAAGTTTAATTGTCTGTGCCTTTGAGCTCCATTGTTGTTCAAAAAAGCACCAGTGAGAAAAAACATCGCATCTGGTGACATTATATTTCATTTTTATGATCTTACAAACACTGTTGCACAGTAATTTATTTAGGAAAACCGGAGATATGTGCCGACAAGTCGTTATTCCTCCATCTTGAAACTGGATGACGATAAACTATTTTGATTACATTTTTATAAAAAAGGTCAAGGAACTAATCTGCAGCTGCCTCTGTTACCTATTACAGATGCTGCAGGCATTATTCCAATTATCATATACTGAAGAGATACCGACCTTCATCATAGGGCACAGGAAGGTAGGACAAGATCCCTGCAGTCCACCACAGTGTGTAGCTGCAGACAGACAAGATACACACGTGTTGAAATGGGTACAATTACCTGGGAAAAAGGCTGGATTTACAACACAGACATTTTATTTTCCAATAAAAGTAGCTTGCAGAACTAGCTACAAATGTCCCTTAGAGTCCCAGACAACAGCAAATTGCAACCTCAAAAATGGTCTATTTCCAATTGTTCGTATCTTATACCCATGACAAAGGGTGTATATAGGATTAAACCATGGCCTTGAACACACTGCATCCTAGGAGAAACCAAAGTAACTGTATTGGAGTAATGTGGCGATAAGCCATGGAGCAATAACACCAGAGACAAAGAGCATTTTTTGCCGGATTAAGAGAGCAAAAAAAAAAAAAACTGCTCATGTGAACAACATCCAAGGCAGGCTTGTACATCCTGGGGTTAAAAGAGTCATTTTCAATAGCTACGCGAATCTATTGCGAGTGATTTCCCACCGAGATATTCAATTAGTGTAAAAGCAAAGACCCACAAACATTCAGAAGCCATTGAAAGAAGTTTTGTGGCAGATGCAAACATGTTATCCAAGGTTCTTATTTATAAATATGCATTTTAATACAGCAAGTGTGTTTGTTAGTGTTCAGATGTGTTTGTTACCTGCGTCTGTCTTGGGGGAGGGCCATGGTGTTCTTATGATGCAGGTAGAAGTCGGTGGGCAGCTCCCACAGGTGAGGCTTGGACTCTGATGGCTGGTAGACTTGGAGAAACAGGTTGATGGCATCCTGTCTGTCAGCATCTGGAGGTGCAAGAAGGACATAATAATAACAAATCAAACATAATGATTAGTTAATCTACAAAAGAGAATTTATAAAACTAAATGCAGATGAGGGATTACTAGAGTCAATCATGGTTTAGTCATTGTTCAATCAGAAATACCAAACATTCGTCAGCCTTATTGTTCGTTAAAAAGCAATTATTTCCAGAGAGTTTATACTTGTTTTATGATTTTTTTCTCTTGAGCACATTATGTTGAATGTCATTATGTATGACATCTTCAATATAAAAAAAGTATTGAATGCATTGTCAGTCAAATCTCTCCGAACCACTTCTGGACAATGGGCTTGTATTAATAAAATTCTGTTCTGTGTAATGTTTCATGTGTTGTTCAGCACATGGCACGTGTTTTCAATGTTGCCTACTTTGAGTGCCATCCATCCCCAGTGAAGCCCTGTGCTGCTCCAATATAATTAAAATATTTAAAAACAAAATTGGCTTCTACTGTATTAAAGCCTGATACCTAGCCTTTCCCTTTGGCGATTGTCAGCCTGAGATTTATTTAATACGTCATTAGATAGAAGCTATGGATGAGCTTTTAACTTAAATGTAGACATGCATCAGAAATAATTCACAGAATATGTCTCACAAAATGTATTTTGAATGATATGCACAAAGTAAAAAATACATTTCAGCAGACTTTTTACTGGTCTCAGTGCGTACTGTATGTTTGTGTGTCAAAAATGTTATGTGAGAAAGAAAAGTGTTTGGCAGGGATGTTGAAGTGTATGTCATTAATTTACTGAGGAATGATTGCTGTGTATGCACTGATAAGCATCACAAATGACTCCTTATATTGCTAATATACTTGTTTTTCATTTTGTATGGTGCTATGGCCATCACTCTATAATGCGACATTGCGCTATAAAAACACAATTTAATTTGATTTCAATTGAATAAAAAACACTTTTAAAGAGTGATACAAGGCCGTATTTAGAGTGTTTCAATTTGGTAGCAAATTGGTTTTTCATAGCAACCGAAAATGACATTATTTGCAAATGTATTCAAATGATTGTTATGGGTGAAGGGAAGGTCACAGCTACCTTATCCTACTGGATTACAATTTTCTATTGCTTGTCTTTGTCCTACTACTGTATAGACTACTTTGGTGCTTTGCAGAGAGTGCTGAGGCATATCTTAGCCAGAGAAGCAACAGGAGGTTAACTTGGTAGGTCAAGCAGCACAGCGCCATCCCTCTCGACTTAATACACACAACCTTTCTTTTCCATTTCTAGGGCTACAGAACGCACGAACAGTCACTAGAGTGTTGTGTACACCCATGCACATTTCCAAAAATGCACTGTGACTACTTATAGACAAGGGTGTCATTTATAGTTATTATAAGATCTAATTGCAGGCACCACAAAGCAACACATCCAGACTTTTTAGACATTAGATGCAAGTGGCAAATTGAAAAATAGGAAAACATCACACCAGATAATTAAAATAATTCTCCAGATAACAATATCGGAAATCAAATGACCTCAATCTAACACTTTTTGCAGTTGTCATAGAAATGGCTTTGAACACCCTGTGACTGTGCCAACAGTCATTAGGGAACTATGCTGAATATGACTGTGTGTGCAACGTAAGTTCATACTTGAGGTGTAACACAACAGCATAAAATGGTTGTATTGAGTAACATATAAAAGAGATAAGTAACATGCATAATCCTCCAGTCCCTTCTTAATTACTTCTGTGCTGGTGTGTAAAATAGCATTGTTATGCACTTGTGTAATGTGTGTGTGTAACGCACCTGAGAAAGCGTTGCTGTAGTAACGCGACAGGGTCTGCATGATGTCTTTGGAATGTTGTGTCCAGGGAGCGATCTTGCGGTAGGTCTTGACTCTGTGGACCAGCTGGGAGCCGCCGTACTGCAGTGACAACGTGTCTCCATGGTCCTCATACAGCTCCTCAAACAACCTGGGCCACACACACACACACACACATAACGCCCAAAAACACAAGTCAACACACAACAAGTGGACAGGCTAGATAAGGTAATCTTCTCTTGATTTTGAGAGATTCTTATACAAAATGTGGCGTTTGTGTGATTGCTGTATGCATTTCTTCTGCTTCTGCAAAACAACAGAGGTGTGTAACACTTATAAAAGTCCTGTATCAAAGATCTAAATAAACGTATTATGGGGTAGAGGTACAAGTAGATCAGAGTTCCAGTTAAAGAAGTCAAGTTAGACATGTGACCGATGATTCTTCTCCCCGATGCATTTAAATCTATGAAACATCACTGTCAAATGTAATACTTTTTATAAACATCTTTATTTGTATTGATCAAACAAATGAATCTGCAGATGAATCAATAATGAAAATAATCATTAGAAGCAACCCTATACATGACAACGGGGGTAGTCGGGTGTAACTCTGGATTTTTTTACTGCAAAAAGTGTGATTTAGTCTACTGGGGATCCTAATAAGTGAGAATTAAATCCATAATGTAGCCTAGGTTTTCAGACAAAATTGACATATTGCTGAACTGACAAACATTTTTCATTGGCTCTGGGATAATACGTGCTACCGAAAGGAGCTTTACCTCACACAGTCCGTATCAAACTGGAGTCTGGGTTTGTCGATCATTCCCAGTGCAAAAAGCTGATAGGCCAGCGCACACTTCCCCACCATGAACTGAGCGGTGTTGGTCCGATCCAGACAGTCCACACAGTTGGTCCTCAACACGCCGGTCTACAACAACAAAGACTCATTAAACGTACTTAATGTATGTATGTTCAGTATGTAGTTAGACACAAACTAAATAATAAGGTAATTATATTAGTGAAATCACAACATCAGCTGTAACCATCTCCATGTATTAACCCTCTGTAAATGGTGGTCATTAAATTGCGGAAAACAGCTCAGATAATTCCAAGAACATCGCTGCATATGTGATCAAGGTTTCTAAGAAAAACACTCATTATGCAACGATATGCTTTGGCCTAGTTTTGCAACTGAGCCCCTTTTTCAAATAAACATCATATGAAAAGCTATGTTTTTTGGCAAGAAATCTCACTGCTCTTAATTAATTTGTTGAGTATTAATTTGTTTACATTATGTTTGTTTTTTTATAATTTGGGTAGAATATTAAGTGACAAACTGAATTCTGACACAAAGTTACAGCAGACCCCTCCACCATGTGACGTACCTGCACCCGTCCACTGGCTGTGATATGTCCACCTAAATCTCCCCACCTGAAACAACATACATTTTAATTAACTTGACCAAGAAAAAATCATTAATACTTTGCATTAAAGTGCACTTGTCAATTCTGCATATTTATTAGAATTTACTGATAAATCAATGAAACATAAACTGCATAAATGTAAACACTCTAATCTGATTATCCTTATAATTCATGAGCTAATTTATGGATGTGATGAAGCCTAGAGGTGCCATAATTATTTAACTGCATCAACTTACAAGAGTTATGTTTATTTGTGTATATGTGAGAGGTCATGTGCATGAGTGTGAGGTGCGTGTGTATAACAAAGAATGTGAGATAGCGTTGGAGACTGCAGAAGAAAGGGTAATACATAGTTACCATGGAGAGGTCATTGGGTTATGTAACAAAATGGTAATGTTCGGGGGAAGTGATTAAGAAATGCAAGCAATGGCCAACACAAAGTACACAGATGGAAATCTAGAAAACTCTCTGAGACAAAATGGTCATTAGGCGTCATTTTCATTAAGAATTCATAGGAGTACATTTTTCAAATTGAATAGCCTCAATAAGTGTGGGGGTCAGAATTAGAGGAATAGAAACATTTAATAATAATAAATTGTATTTGGGGGGCGCCTTTCATAGCACCCAAGGACACCTTACAGGGCATAGGGTAATATAGGGGAAATGTAGCTTTCCTTCCCTGATACGCAAATAGAAAAAAGATGGTGGCATGGTTTAGCACTTCTTTTTTCTCATAGCACTGGTATGTCATGGCATATCATTTGCCACCTTCTCTTTCTCGCTCTTTTATATGGAATTGTAATGCAGTCATTTGAATTGAATTGAAGCTAGGAGTCTGAAATGGCTCACCTGTCATCGGGTCTGACGGTGTGACAGTAGAAGTCGGAGCGGTTGATGTAGAAACCTGTTCGCTTCACCACGTTCTCGGCTATCATACTCAGACGGTCCAGAACATTGCACAACTTACTAAGAGAAATAGAAATTAGGAATTTTAATTTGTTTCTGGAGCTGTGGAACAGTAATGCTTCTGAATACAGGGGGCGTGGCCATTACTTTCAATGTAGATGACTGATCTTCCATCAGTTTTTTAGTTAGTGATTATGTCACTGATCAGAAGAGAATATTTTAAATACTTTGCTGTGGAGAAACATTTTTGGAAAAGTTTAAACATTTCTGAGTTCAGAGTATGACATAACTTTAGTTTTTGATCCTAACAGGATTCAAGGAAGTTTTAAAATGGCAGAAAATATCAGATAACAATACCATATTGAAAAAAAAAAAAATTAAATAATTTACATTTAGATGTAATGTAGCCATTTTGTGCTGCTCATCATTCTCCACACTAGCTCGGGCAAACAGCTTTGCTCTCACATTTAGTTTGATACCACCACAAGTTATTATACTGCATTAACCTCCCAACCTTTAAAATCTCAGTAAAAAGGATCCTATCTGCTGTTGGACTTTAAAGATTGTATTATGTCTAATACATACACAAATAAATATCCAGTTTCCTGTGTATTTCATTTAGTTAGTTAGTGTTGCTGGCTAACGGCAGGGCAAATCCTTTTTTGGGGTAACAATAACAAACATTAACACATCAAAAAAGCTGTGTTTTAAGCAAACTTCGGCTCATCTATAGTCCCCACCTCTTGGTGTAGCGGGCCATGTCCCAGGCGATGTAGTCGATGCAGTTTTCTGGAGGGAGAAACTGATTTAGGTTGATCACAGCTGGGTACAGCTCTTCACTCAGGATCCTCTCATGTCTCCTTTTTTCCCGTTTCTGTAGCACAACAAAGAGACACATATATGTGTATCGCATGTATGATTTAATTTACCCACAAAGAACAACCAAAGCCGGTCCAACAAGGACACCAGTATAGATCAACATAAGAAATCTGTTGGTTATAATAAACGCATTCACAGAGATCCTTTCAGGTCTTCTCCACAAAAACCCTGAAAAATAGAGCTGCGAGAAACCATTTACAGAATCCATTCAGACTACGACTTATGTGAAATGTAAAGCACAGAACTGAGGAGAGACAATGCAGATTGGTGGGGAATGTACTGTAATATAATAAGTGTAACTGTAGGGGATATTGGTGCAAATTGAATTGTATGCCGCAAGGAGAGGGATTAGAAGGTGAATTCATAGTTATAATCTTATTACAGTAAAAAGTGCTCATTATTTTCCGATGTATGGTTGAGATGACCCTTTTTCTATATTTCATTCAAAAATGTTTAATGAGTTTATATCAGGGCATCCACAAAGTTTGACTGCTGTTGGTTTATTGTTTCTGAGTTCTAGATGTTGAATAAATTCATAGAAACATATTTGTAAAGAAATAAGACTTTTTTTGTTAATGCATTCACACACCCCCTGTTTGTCTCTTTGACCTGTGGTCACACAGTCCATTAAGACATTTCTCCATTAAGTTATGTCTCCTCACATTGTGTCTTTATGACTGATCACCCTGGCTGATAATGGGCTTGGAAGCATCATTTAGCAGCTTGCACATGCACACATCCAGCCGTGGCAAAGCAACACACTCACATTAACGATGCATTTCCTCATTCGTTTGGCATGGGTGTGTCATACTGTCTGACAAACACACACACAAACACACACTCTCTACACACCTTATGAGGCACAGAAGAAAGACTAGGAAACATGTGCACATGTACTACATGTATGTGCTGTTCACAGAAATAATCATAGTTTTATGTGTGAGAAGGTACAGTCACGCTATGCATATGGGGGGGGGGAGCTGGTCATGGACGCCGTAAAAATCAAATGTGCGATGTGTATTTTTATTTTTTGTATACGTCTTTATAGTAACATTTGGTGTTGCTATTATTTTTCTCATCTTAATTCCTCTTCCTTTTGTGTGGGCAGGTTCTATGTTTGGTGGTTGCTCCCAAATATGAATGGATTCTCTCGCAAAAATGTTTTGTTGTTGATTAATTCGAAAAATGTATTGATTAGGTGCTGAATAAAAATGAATATTTGTACTGTAGGTGGGGAGAGTAGAGATTTTCTCCGGCAGTCACAACAAATCTAATCTAATCAAGTTGTCTGATAGGAAAGGCGATTCACATGCTCGGCCATGTGTTTTCTTCCTCTCTTATCATTCGGACCCATCAGGAAACCACGCAAACATCCAAGAGTTGACACAGCATGCTGACCCAAGTCAACACTGTTGAGAGAAGGGCTGTCATGGTTTCATGCTTACTTAACAAATCCTTCCTCCTACTGTCTCATGGGACAAGAGAGAGGGTGTATTGTGTATATCCAGCCAGCACATATCACATGGCCGCAGCTTGTGTAGACCTCTAAAGTCTGTGATACAACATGAGCTTGAAACCCAAGAGTGAATAGCTGTTTGCATGAGTGTGTCCATGCTGGTGAATAAGAAAGGGCAAAAATGAGTAGTAGCACACTGGTTCCTGAGAGGACATTGCTAACAGTTTTACACACATGGATAAGAAGATAAAACAATGTAATGACGCGATTATTCCTTATGAATAATGCATTCATGCAACTCTTCTTGTGGAGTTGTACTCAGTATAAAAACATATATTTAAATAAGATGACATTTTATTAGCGTATAGTAACTTATTAGTGATACTTTGCATTGTAATTTCGTAATTCATAAGCAGTGAAGTTGTATGCTCCAGTGCTTGACTGATTGCATATTCACACCCCCCTAGATATATCTATATATCTTACATAATACTCACACTTAAAAGCCAGTCTTTCTGAAGAAAACTTAAATATCTCACTACCTGGATCTTATTAAATCGGACTTTTGCTTGCCATCGCTCCAATGACAATAGTGAGTACCCCATGTTTTAGTTTCAGTTACCAAGGAAACAATTCCCTAATAAAAAAAATAAAGTTTTCTTTGAAAGCCATTCCCCTTCTCTTCGCATGATTTATTTTAGTGATCCATTGTCATTCCCGAATTAAAAGTAAGCTATATATTTAAATGTTCATCACATCTCTCTTAGAGTGATGTAAGTATATATATTAGTTTTATTAAGAATATACTTAATAACTTTGCATGTTACCTTAACCAGGTTGAGGATGATGATAGGAGAGCCAAACCGCTGCAGCATCTGGTCAAAATGGAGGGCAGCTACATGGGCGTATGGGTCGGCTTGGTCCACTGAAAGAGAAATCACAAAGAGTGTTAAATATGTATAGGGCACTCATGATATTGCATGGTATAAAATAGTTATAATATCTTATGCCATTGTATTGTGTCTGGATGTCTGCTGAATATGAGAAGAAACAGACAAACAGCACACTTAACTACAGACTGAGCAAACTAATGTATTTCCTCCCCCCTGTTGTTGATCCTGCTTATCGTTAATGGTTTTCTTTACTTTAACATCATGTTTAGTTCCTCTTGTGGAGCCCAACACCTGCAGACAGCAGCCATGTTGAACCAGTGGAGCAGCCAGAAGACAGATTAAAGGAAATAGGGCAGACTGGCTCACTGGTATCTAAAGAAGAAGTAGAGTAACCAAGTTCAGGGGCCTCATTTATAAACGGTGCGTACGCTCAAAAGATGGCGTACGCCAGTTTCTAAGCAATGTTTGTGATTTATAAAGAAAACAAACTTGACGGGAAAACGTGCGGTCCTCCATGCAAACTCTAACCCATGCGTACGCACTAAGCACAACAACGGGAGAGACGAGAAACTGCAACACCGTTGGCAGAAGGAGTAATGGAGAGAAATATGTGGAAATAATACCATAAATAAAATGTTACCTCTCATGTATCATATATGAAGAATTAATTTGCAAACATTGATTAAAGCCAATCTTAAAATGATTAAACAAACGCCTGTTAGAGACTCCTCAGTGCACACAAAAACGTAACTTGGAGAAATAAGTATATATACGGATATGTTATTGAAAACCACCTCGAATATGTTGTCTTAATATATAATAATGTTTTCTCATAAATGATGCGGTAAGCAGGAGGACAGAATTACGTCTAAACTGAAGCCGTTTTGTATTTCTATAGGTTGTATAGATACGAGCATGGTTTCATATACTATCATGTTTAATCATGTTTCATGCCGTTTGCTAAGACTTGATANTCACTAAGCCGCCAGGTAGACCGAAAGACAGCAGGGTAGACACCAAATACGACAGTCACCAAGAGTCGAAAAGGCAGGCCCGCGCGGGGGAACACTTCTTTTTTTTTTTTCCAGCCCGGGGGGGTTTGTGTTTATCAGTGCATTACCGGTTCAATTGTCCAAATAATTTTATGTAGTTATACTTTGCCACTCGTAACGGAACAGTTTTTCTCCATTTTTTTAGTGAAACATATCTTGTCACCTATTATTTTGTTAGGAGGTATTCAGACAAGGCGCCTCACGAAGTTTTGTTTCCTCCTCCCCTGCCGTTTATGTATTTATGTTAACACGTAGAAGACACCCGCCACGAACACCCCAATCCGAACTGCAAGTATCTCCCACGCAGTTTGTGAATCGCCAAACGGGTAATACAATGGCCAGGCGGTGTCGACTTCAAAACAATGAACGTTGTAACGGGGTGGTGCTCTACATTAGGCCGCTGACATACTTCGACGCCTTCTATTTAGTCGAGCGCCTGCTGTATATTCCATATTCGTCCTCATTTCCACGATAAAATTAAATTTTATACTTCAGAAAATTTGACATAAGAACAAAACTTGTTGAATAAAGTATTGACAAAAAGTAAATAACGAGAACAAATAAAACATATGATAAATATTACCCTAGTAAATTTACCACAACGGAGCCTTTTATTAACATAATGTGTTATAGACTGTTTGGGCAACTCTGGGTGTCTCTAATTGATTAGTGACTCTATTGATTAGAGTCCCGCCCCATTAGATTTTGTGTACCTCTCTCAGGAAATGTGAGTGACTCGACTCCCAATATAGACTGGAAGAAGTATGGAGAAGTGTTGGTGCGTTGCAAGTGCCAAGTTGCGAGCGGCACGATTCTCGCAAAGTCCAAGTCTTGGCATAGAAGGCTAAAGGTCGAGGCCGCAGAAAAGTGTGCGGGGTCTCACGCTGACCAACCGACCGCCAGTAAACGAAGTAAGCAAACGCACGGACGAAGTACTTTCGGTTTCGCATCCGCCCTTGGTGGAGTGTCGACTGTGGCTTGTTTTGTTCTTACCGGTCTAACACGGAGGCGAAGGAGCACATGGAGAAGTCTTCTGGTTCTAAGGTGTCATCCATCGACCCAGAGTAAGTCACCTTGTGACGTAACAACATTCAAAGAGTTAGCACCGCACATGTTTCGACTATTCTGCCCCGAACAACAACGAACAAGTTCCCTCAACTAACCGGGTAGCGCACCATATAGGCAACCTCGCATCTAGCGCCGTGCTGTGTGTTTTTACCCGAGCAAGGTTGGCGTGTGTGTGTCTTCGGCGAGCTTACTTTGTGTCCCCTGGGTCTCGCATGAACCATCGCCCACATCGCCATCCGTATAATAAAAGCTTAGTCTGTATCTTTTATTTTTTCCTGCTATGTAAAAGAACCCCGCCAGGATACGATAGCGATCCCCTGGACGCCGTGGGGGGATCCGCGGGGCGCGAACTGCGCGGATAAATGGGAAGGTCAGGAGTTGTAATAATAGGTGTGTGGACACAGGATGTCGCGTGGAGGTATCCAAAGATTCAAAGATTCAAATTGAAGGCGCGCCCAGTACGGCTCGGCAAGTATTGTTACAAAGAAAAAGTTTTTAACAACAACGCTATTGGTAAAAGAGGACCCCCCCCTGTGCGGGGGGTGGGCGTGCAAAGACCTTCCACTGCGCTCGTCTCCTTTCTGCCGTGCACCAATCTCTTTACAATAGTTACGTGAATGTCTCCACACAAAGAACTCTCCTCATCGCTCCCACAACCTACCAACATTATCCCCCAGGCATCACATTCCGATTACACGTGATCTCAAACGGTAGTTTCTAGCGTAACCAGTCATATGTCCCTTTGTGGAAAACCTGATTCCGCACAGGGTACATCACTGGAGTTACACTTTCCCGAAATCAATGGAAAGTGAATTATATATTTAAATAACGTTACAAGGAGATGAATTTAAGTATTCAACAAATAATAAGGTTGAGTCGAGCCCATTCGGTCGAGTACTGGTACATGTTAAAGATACTTCAGTTAAACACCCTCCGTCGCTTGTCACACTCAATCACTACTACTAGTACATTCCAACCTTACACATAAACAAGACCTTGGAAGGTACCGAGAAATGTTACGCGTTACACACTACTGTATAAGGACGGGTCCACTTTTATTAGGGCCAGAATATATCAACCAAAAGAATAAACTAAGTTAATTCTGTCACCCCGCCTGCGACGTGCTAATCCCGTCTACTCCGTGTCCGGGGTGGATCACAGTCGGTCTTCTCATAATTTAGTTACTAAGTGTTTTTTTTACGTTTTTTTATTTATTTTTTTATAATATTTTATATTAAATTCTAGTCCAAAATTAGTAAGACTCGTCAATATCTTGCCTTGTCTTGCCCATGGTCTTGCCTTGTTTGTGTGAAACGCTGAATTAACTACATCTCCGGTCAAGCAGAACAACACACGCCACCAAGATGGCCGTCACTACTGTCATGTCAACAAAAGGATTGACTACCCTCACTATCACCACAATGAAATACGTCCAGAAGAATGTCATGCAAAGCTGCCTGCCTGCCTATACCTTCCTTTGATTCTCTCTGAACTGCCTGGTCTTTTTAATGTTTAATGTCAACCATTTGTGCAGATAGCGTGAAGTAGAAAAGATCGCAGATGCTAATGTAGCGTTAGCATTTCTCCCCCGGGCTTAAAATTGTGTATTATAGAATGATCACACCGGTGTGTGACAGTACTCTTTAAACTAATCTTACTGTTTAACATGTTGGGTTACTTCATGTTACTTCATGTTAAGGCTAATAAAAATGACAAGGCGGTAATGCTAACTAACGTGATAGCTACTAGCTAGGTAGCTAACTTGATCCAGCCACTCCTGGTCCTTTCATCAGACGGGAAGCGATAGAACGAGCAAGATCCATTGCTGGTGGATAACAACCTGGTACTAAGCACACAGGCATCTTGTTAAAGTTATCTTATCTTAGCCAGCGCCATATAAATAGATTATATCTATATGGCGCTGATCTTAGCTATCTCTTAGTGGAGGAAAACAGTTATGACATCACTTACGCGACTCTGGGATTTGTAGTCTTTCTAGTTCCGTATTTTTCATAGTCTTATATTTCAACAGTTTTACGACAAACTGTGACTTTTTTGACATGGAAATGATTTTTTAAGATTGACAAACATCATATGTGTAATTAATGGCACAATTCAAACGTGATCGAAAGATAAGTTTTCTCTCTTCATTGACTTCAATGCATAATTTTTCCGAAATAAGGTCCCATGGACCGGAAGTAGATGGGCGTGACTTCGCCAATCTATCCAATATGGAAAGCGCCCCCTGCAGGTGTAACAATTATGGTGACATCAAGTAACAACTAAGGAATNCTGTCTTGTCAACAAAAGGATTGACTAACCTCACTATCACCACAATGAAACACGTCCAGAAGAATGTCATGCAAAGCTGCCTGCCTGCCTGCCTTCCTTTGATTAAAGGAAGGCAGGCAGGCAGGCAGCTTTGCATGACATTCTTCTGGACGTGTTTCATTGTGGTGATAGTGAGGTTAGTCAATCCTTTTGTTGACAAGACAGTAGTTACGGCCATCTTGGTGACGTGTGTTGTTCTGCTAGACAGGCGATGTAGTTTTCTTTCAGCATTTCACACAAACAAATGTGTTACTTCACAGTTTTATGACACATTTTAATTTTTTTGACTTGCAAAATTATCTTTTTAATTGACAAACATATGTGTAATTTGTGGCACAATTCAAACGGGATCGAAAGATAATCTTTCTCTCCCCATTGACTTCAATACATAATTTTTCCGAAATAAGGTCCCATGGAGGTCCACCGGAAGGGGAGGGACTTCGGCTCTCTATAAAGTGGTGCAGTGACGCGTCCTAAAACCCGGAAGTAAGCTGCTGGTTCCCTCGACAAAAAAGCTATGGGATTTCTCCATAGGATTTTGGAAAATAGCTCGAAATAAGGTCTATGGAAAACCAACCTGTTAGATAAATGCACGTTTTGGGGGAGTCAGAGGGCCTAGGTATAAAAGTCACGGCTCGACACTGACACTGACACACTGCCTGAGGAAGGTTATGTGTATTTTGTCATTAACTTTTTTCGGACCACTTATTTATTTATTTTGGTGACGATCCGACCTCCATGCTACTACTCTGGTTCAAACTGCATCCACCAAACAATATGATGTGTCTCCACCTCCTCAAAAGAACCAAAATATGACACGGTGTGAAATTTCTTTTTTAGATGTTCTGTCGTCATTTCCTGCGATCTTCTTCATGCAGTCAGTCAAAATGAATATTAATACGGGGCGTTTCTTTGACTATTTAGAGGCAAATATGGGCGTTACGTGAAGCCCGCAAAAGCTGCGCCGCATTTCCAGTTGATTGTGATTTATAAAAAAGGGAAACCAGCGTAGGACGTCCCGCACGCAAGTCCTACACCGGTACGCAGTGTTTTATGAATCGGAAAATATCTGTGCTTATTTATTTGCTTTGTCCTACGTAAGCAACATTCCCACGTGAATCCTACGCAAGGCATTATAAATGAGGCCCCAGGTCGTCTCCTGCACGACCAGGACATTTGAGCACTTCAGGGCCACCATGAACACATTATATACATAGTTTATACATTTGTATAATAATGAGCTATCTCAGGCACCAAGAGAGTGACACAAGATGGGATGAGGTCGAATTCACACACTGACCTAGATTCGTCTTGCAGGTAGTATCACATAACCGGTCTGCATCTGTTTTTTTATTTTTAAAGCTCCAAAGGTCTTTGAGGAAAAATCAGACATGCGTTTTATTTAGCTTTAGATTGTGTGTCACTCTATGAGTTAAAAAGCAGAGCACCAGTGTAAGTACGATTAAACATTTAAAAAATAAAATACGCGTTATGGGAAATACGTCCATTTGTTTTCTTGCCAAGGATTAGATGAGGAGATCGATACTGATCGCATGCAAAACATAGTAAAAAAAAAATGAATTGCCAATGAGTATACCAATACCAAGGAAAAACTGTTTCAAATGATATGTTATCATCAAGTGAAAAATACCCTGACAGTGCATCTGGGAAATATAAGGACTGTCTTTAAGGATCAGGATGGATAGTTCAAAGAGGGATCTCAGGGACACGCTCAGTGTCTCTATCTCACACAAAAAAAAAAAGGCCATCTGAGGATGAATTAAAGAGCGAACTGGGGTGTGGGGGGGGTTGTAACAATTTCATACAGGCATTGAACGCACCAATGTCATCAGACTTAGAAACCTGTTCACCCCCCTCTGGCCCTGGATTTGTGTTTTCATCCAGCTCATATTGTGAGAAGGGAATGGACACAAAGAAAAGAACCGGTCGCGGTTGCGGCGGGGTGGGGGGGGGGGCGTCCTGCCTTCACCTGTTTTATTCTCATTTTGATTTGATCAATAGCCCTGTTGGAGAAAAGGATGGCCCTGATATAAGGCCGATCTCCAGTTGTTTCCAATTACACTTTTCCTTTGTCCCCACAGGGTTACTTCTGGTCTTGGGCTGCTGATAGAATATTTACAATGTGCATTATCAACTTACACAGTTAAATACCTACTCTCTCTTAGAACATATACCTATAATCTTTCTTTATGCTACAGAGAAAAGTGGATAAGAGAAAGATTTTCCTTTAAAGCCTGAGCAGCTTTGCCAACTCTCCATTTTCTCCATTATACAGCAGATGATGTGCACCTTAAAGAGGGGGTTTGGATTGTTTGAAGTAGGGTCGTTCAAGGTTCCTATCCATAGTCAGTGTATTACTTACAGTAGGTGGAGTTCAGCTAACCCCTAGTTTAGAAAAGTAGACAGGAGTGACTGCACAGAAGCATAGCGATGTAATACTGTGAATGGGGGCAGCAGCACAACTGTTTTTTGGCCAACTAGAACCAAAAATAAATACAATCCATATCATAATAACAGCTAAAGTGTACACTATAATTTGAATATCTGTACTTTTTTACCTTGAAATATAATGGTGTCAGGTCCCATTCGTAAGGGCTCTCTTAATATAGGGTGTAATTACATTGCAATGTATTATATAAGTCATCTTAAATATGTTTAGCTTCTCCCTTATCCACAGCACATTACATTGTTTAGCTTCTGTGGCTGTACTCCTCTCTGCCCTGACTTTAGGTAATTATACATGCCTTTGGATTAGTACCACCCCACTACAAACAATCCAAAAAGCCAATAAACAACCCAAGCCATGATACAAATATTTAGGAACATATACAATTGAATGGGTAATGCAGGAGTCTTACATCGTATTGGGGGTTTTGGCATCATGGTGGAAATGTCCTGTGACCAGTAGAGCGGGACTGAACCTCGCACCTGGACATAGGAGGAGTAACTTCCTGCGGTGAAAGACATAACCGCCGCGTCATTGACGATCTGCTCTGTCTCAACTTCGTTTGCCACATCCCCCTGGAAGCAAAAAGAAAAAAACTAAGAAAACAAAGCCCAAGGTTGAGTAAACAATAGCACCAAAGACCAACGTCATTAGGAGCTTTCCTTTAAATTACATGACTTCATCGGCAGATGGCGCTGACCACAGAATTTTAGATTCACTCCTGGCTCAAAGAATCCTGGCTATCTGAATCTTGATCTGTGGAAGAAGATGATGTGGGACTATCAAAAACGCCCGAACATATAATAAACTTCTGCTTCTTTTAACTTCAGCTTTTAAACAAACCTAGACAAAATGGCCACTGTGCTTTTCGGCCCAATGGCATCACGTGACTGAAGTGTGGCGACTGCGAATATTTGCTTCAAAGACTACAAATATTTGCTTCAAAGCCTGTGGATCTTCCTGGGGAATTGAACATCCCTTACAATATTAACTACACACGTGCTTTTCCTGCACTATACATGTCAAACTGTCTGTTGTGATGAAGGAAAGTTGAACATTATGCTATAATGAAAGATCATTTCCATTTGGATAAGAGCTACTGTACTTATATGGCATTGAACAGAATAGTAGGAAACAGTAAACATTGCGCCCAACCATATATCAGGATAGCAGGAAATGTATGTTTTAGTGCATTAAGTCCCTCCCACAGCACACCCACACAGGCACTCGTACTCAAGGAAGAGGCAGCGGGTCAAATTAACCCCCTGTGATCACCCTGAGTCATCTCAATCATCCCGTTGGACCTCAGCCCTGCCTCCGCTATCTATTCTTCCCTGTTGCCTCGGCAACCGCTGTACCTCGCAGTTGGCTCCTCTTTTGAGGAAGCGGGTCCCGGCAAATTTACTGGAACGCCTGGCAATGAGGGTGATGTGAACCGGTCGGCCATATATCAGAAGCTCTGTGGTTGCTGGGTAAAGGAATATTAATAACGATACAACACTGACAGCATGACGCAATCACTTCTCTTTTAAAAACACACACTATATTCACATCATCAGGTCTAATCATTTAAAATGTGTTTATTTTTCTATTCCCCTTAATACTTTTGGCTTTACCTCTTTTAAAAATATTTGTTGTGCATCTTAAATCAATATAAACTAAACATATGCACAAAGTACATTTAAGTAAAATAAAAAATTTAAATAATAGCAATTTTATTTAACTACTTTAGTGGAGTATCCACTTTTTTATTAGTTGTGTTTCATGTGCACACATAAGAAGCATTCTTATCTACTCGATGAACATTTAGGATAAAACAAATGAACAAATCATACAAAGTTTTTCAATGTTCCCTTTGTTCCTTATTGGCACTTTTTCCCCAAAAATTAAAGAAACCCTGTCTAATTGTTTGTATCTATCCGCCAAGTCTCCTCTTATTGCACACATCCTTTCTCTCATGCTCAGAAAAAACGCAATGAAGGCCAAACAGTTTCCAGGAACCATCTCCACTGTAAAGCGCCCACACAATGTCTCAGTGGCAGCATGCTGCCTGACAATTGTTGATAGCAGTACTGACTGTAAATGCAGTTTGGATTATCTGGCTACTGCAGCTCAAAAACTGCAATTATAATATAAACTCATTAAAATAAACTGCTGAAAGACTAACTTGTTTTGACCCGAGACAAAAAAACTACATATTTTACACTCCTAATGTGATTTATGCAAAGGAGACTTGAAGGTAAATGATTGGGATCTGAAACCTAAGGCAGACTTTGACTATAATAAATCAAACTGTTGACTCAGTTCTAGTCTAGACTTAAGCCACTCTGCAGCAGTAACCCATGCATCAATACTACAACAGCTTCTCAAAAAGCAGAGGATATTATTCACTTGGAGCGTAATACTAATAACCACGGTATGCAGATTGTTAGATCCATAGAAGCGGCGAATTGAAAGACACCAAAATAATTTGTGTATGAATGTAGAAACACAGGATTTGTTTTGATAAAAATACCATGTGGTTTATCTGATTAATTATTAACAATGTTGCTGCTTTTTCCCTACAGATAACAGATGTGATTATAAAACTGCCAGTCTTTACACACCTGATGAGCAAAACCATTGCTTGATTATAACACTTGCTTTAAAAAAGCCCTAAGAACAAACACAAATTGCTTCTGCAGTTTAGTGGTGAATCTCACACTCAGAGTGTCACCCACGTGCTTTGAAAGAGGCTGATTGCAGTTCAACAAGTGATGCTGAGGCTACGAGATGAGGGGGAGTGCCGACAAATAACAACAATGTGAGAGATAGCTGAGTCCTAACAAGATACAGGCAGTTAGTTTTGCTAATTTGTTTTAGTTTCTTTTAAAACCCAAAGAAACAAGTTGATCATGGCAATTAAAAAAAACCCATGCACATAAAATCAACAGCTGAACATTTCTGCAATGCTCAAAGGATACTGGACTGGCCACAAAAGCCGTGGATAATATACATGAGCCAGTCATGATGCACGATGTCCTTGACTCGTTCCAGTAGCTTTCCGTTCCACACGTACTTGTAGTACGGCTCGTTCTGGAGGCCATAAACCACTGTGGAGGAAGAAAAGGAACACACAAAACCTCAGCATTATTTTACTGAAAAGGGGTCAGAACAAATAATCTGTTAGAAAGTGACAAATAAAAAGTGGAACAAGATTTATTTAGAAACATGTATTAAGTTTGTGTTAAGGTATTACAATAGATATATAATAATGGAAGAACACATAAGCCACAAATGAAGATATTTTCAATGGACTTCAATGAGAATAAAACAGGCGAATCTGCAGTAAACAGATAAATGTCAACGAAAATAAGGGCTATTCCTTTACAGCCACTCACCTTGAGTAGGCAGACCCTCATCTTCAAATATGTCAAAGCCGTCATTCTTGCTCTGGGTCTGAACCTCTCCCTCAGCGGGGAGAGTTGGTGACGTCCACAGTTCATAAGGCCTCTGCAGCAGAGTCAGGTTGTACTGCAGCGAATGGCTCAGGTCATAGCTGTAGCTGCAGGGCACAACAGTATATCATTTAAAGTGTACAGTCTGTATTGTCCAAGGGTGAATTGAACACTGAGCAACGCTACAGAGATGTGTATGTCAGACCAGACTGAGTTATGACAAATCGTGCTAGCTTTTGTTAGAAAAGATATGCCTGTACAAGATGACAACTTAATCTAAAAATGGAACAAAAAGTCTAAAATGTAATTTTCCTCATTTTTCGATCAATACAGGGTTATTTTTGCACCACTTCACAATTTTATACTAAAATAGACTCTTATAAATACAACAAAAGGGCACGCTTCTAGAGAGGACACAGGAAAATTAAAGCAATTTTAAAATATTGCTAGTATTTATCTGAGATCTGGACATCAAAAATCCTTGTGGCTTTATTATAGCCCAACCTTCTCCAAAATGTAGGTAATACATTAACTTATGGAGGGCAGGTGGTATATCCTTCAAAACGTTTTATTTTATGTATATTAATTAGGGCTGTCAAACGATTAACATTTTTAATCAGATTAATCACAGCTTAAAAATTAATTAATCATGATTAATCACCATTCGAACTATGTCCACAATATGCCATTTCTTTATGTAGGCCTATATTGTTGTGGGAATGGAAAGATAAATGAAAGAAGGCGGATATATCCATTTAACATACAGTATGTATGTATGTTTATTATAACATTGTTCTGTGTGTCAAAATGAAAGACAGCCCACACACCTATCAATCATCAAACAGTGGGGTCTTATTTCATTACGTGTTGATTTCTATCAACACGTAATGTTGTATCGATGTATATAGAGATGTACTAAAGAAAAAGTATTCTCCGCGTCGGGACTTCCTGCAACAATACCACGCCGTTATCTTGATTCTGATTGGCCAGAAGACATTATCAAAGATGTTCTATTGAGAAGACGATCACTACGTGACAAAAGTTTTCAAAACCGTTTCTAGTCTTCGGTATTTCCAGACAAGTGGCTACTGAAATCAATCTTACTAACTGCTGTCTGTGCAATTTACTCGGCGCGAATTGGCGGACTTTATTTTGCTTACTTTAACATCATTTTTCACGGTGGGGCTAAGGTGGGGCTAAGGTGGGGCTAAGGTGGGGCTAAGGTGGGGCTAAGCCATTTCTTGGTATGGCTGTAGCCTACCCCAGCGCTGCCACTGGTGGGATGTATGGGGCGGGCCATTCTGCACATGCGTTAAATGAGTTAAATATTTTAACGCAATTAATTCAAAAAATTAATTACCGCCGTTAACGCAATAATTTTGACAGCATTAATGTTAATGAGTTAGTGATAATAACAAATACTGTGTGGACTGAGTATGTGTCTTACCTGAAGTAGAAGTTGCTGGATAAATCTACGTTCTGAAAGATCCGCACATATCTAGGAGAGCAAAAACGATGTCAGTCGTACACACATCTAAAAAAGTACCAGAAAAAAGCATCTATATAGCCAATCTATAGGTATAATTATAATGATTGAGATAATATATGCAACCAGATCTTTCTCTGCTTGTTTTATGTGTTGCTGCTGCTGCTGCTGCTGCTGCTGCTTCATTCGTCTGAAGGCATTGAAATCTGATTTGTAGTGTTGAAAGTGTTACAGAAATCTTAGTGGATCCAACATTGTAACATTTCTGTTGCAACATCTATGTAAAAGTGGTTCTTATTTAAATATAAGAAGAAAATATTAAATAACTAGCAGATTAAAGTAAAGAGGAGCAAGACGGGAGCACAAACACTTAGGAAGACAATCACAGCACATGAAAATAAAGCGTGTTTTAGCAAAATAGCAAAAATCATTCAACAAATATATTACCATTTCTTGAATAAAAGTAGTCCAGTGAGTGTAAAAATAAGGTACTAGTGTATGAATGAATATATTGGAGATCATTTTTAAAAAGTACCTTGCTTCATCAGGGTGTGAAACCCTGACCGAGTCATTGGGGATGTAGATCATGCTGGTGTCTTCAATTTTGTAGATGGAGTGGCCGCCAATGTCTGCCATCTTTCTGCGCTTGGTGATCAACACTATGTAGTAGCCCTCGAGGAAATGTACAAACCCTGCAAAAAAAAGAAGAAGTATACATTCAAAATCTTTTAAATGAAATTGTCCTGACAGCAGCGCATGAGACAGATGATCTGGGGGAAATGTGGGCCCAGTTCAATCTTGCAAATGCCATTGGAGCAACAGGAGGAGGTGGAGGAACACGGTTGTCCAAGTTTTTTTATAGGATTATTACTCGGGGTTTAGTCACTGATAAACAAAGAGGGTGAAACCACGTGGTAAAGCAGGCTGCATCAAATGTTAGACAGTCCTTCAACTGTTGCAGATACAATTCTTTTTTTCCAAACATGTCCAACACAGATGAGGCTCGTTGGACCAGTTATTATGCTCCAAACATCTGGAACAAACTCCCAGAAACCTGCAGGTCCGCTGCAACTCTTACTACTTTGAAATCCAGGCTGAAGTCTTTAATGGTTCCCGCTGCTTTTAAATTGAACTATTCTTATCTTAAAAACTGCACTGTAACTTTTACCCATGTATTTTTATGTTTATTTTATTATCTTTTTACTGTTTTTAAATGCCATTTTCTTAATGTCTTTCATTTTTGTAAAGCACTTTGAATTGCCTTCTATTGAAAGGTGCTATATAAATAAACCTTGCCTTGATAAGTCACCTAGGAAAATGCATTGTTCTAACGACTTTAGATATTAACATCCAATGAGTTAATGTGGACTGTCTTCCAGAGAAACAGTATGGACACAAGCTAACAGCCTATGGCCATGACATAACTTGAGTAATTTATATTACACAAGTGAAGTTCAGAAAAAAGCATCTCAGCAGCCACTTTTGAAAGGTCAACCTTTCTGCTGCCAGCGAATCATCTACAACAGCTTTGACAATAAAAACAAGAGAACACCTTCATTTGCAGAGATGAATCATGAGTGTGTGTGTCATACTCTACTTCAATATATATTATCTATCTGTTCCAAACCATGAAGTCTTACATAATTGGAATCAACCAAGAAAATATCACGTAACATAGTAAAGGACTTTCAGCTTTTGATGAGGTATTGTCTCTTTGTTGACATTCAGTGCATAAGGATGGTTGAGTGGTTTTTTAATAGCCTGAATATTAATAGTAGTATTCGCCCCATCAAGGCCAGAAGCTTATGTAATTGAGCATACAACACACACCTTCTTTATTGTGTGTCACATATGCAATTTTGCAAGTGAATAAGAAGTCCTTGAATTAGATATCATTTGGATCACAGATGCTCCATCATTGTGCTGAGAGATTACTAGTGAAATAAATGATGTTATTATGTTCCTGCTCACAAACAGAATAAAGGCGCATGCAGTGTGATTTAAATCGGTGGACAAAGAAAAAACTATTTACATAAACTAATGAATAAGCTCAAACACATGGCTCAACATTATGTCATCAAATATTATGCTTGTACATTTTGATCAACATACTTTCTTCAATTAGTGGAACAGTGTTTAGTAGATTATGCATCAAATTGACAGTTTGTGCTCCACTATAACAAGAAGTGATAAAGAAAATAAAAGTTAAAGTAGCACTCTGATGATTTTTCATGTGAAAAGGTACATTTACTAGTAACTGGGATTACTACTCGGCAGATGGTTTCCACCGGTGAATAGCAAGCTCCACGTCCCACCAGGCTTACAATGGACTCTCCACTGGGAGTAAGCCTCAACAACAAATAATGAAGATGTTTTATAAGCTAAAGTGTGTTACACAAGTAGCAAACTTCTATATGGATTTACTTTGTGAGTTCTGTGTGTTATGCAAGCAAGTGCGGTTGAGAATAAGAGGCAAAAGTTAGAGAGGGTGTGTTGACAGTGAGTATGAAGTCAGTCAGCAAGTGCACGTTGCAGTGCAGTTGGTGTGTAGTTCAAGCTTTCTGTTGCGTAATAAATAAATGCTCTTTGTGACCCAAGCCAAGTTCCCATCATGTCTTGAGGTGTCTTAAAATGCTAAATTGGGGATCTTTCTTTTTCTAATTCCCACACTCATGCTAGATATATACATTGTGTAAGTTACTGATTAACAGTTTTAGCCATAATACTTAGGTTTCCACAAAGTTTATAACGAGCAATGAAAAGCAGTATGGTCAATTTACAAAAAAACACATAATGTGGTTTTATAGCATTGTTTTATATACAGTTTTGACTTGACTGAAACCTATTTAAAAATAAATCCATATTAATTCAATCCAAGTGCTTAAACGATTCCTCCTTTGCAGACTTTAACGTATTAAATATGAACTGAGAGTGGCTAGTGAGGGTAAATCGGAAGGATTTACACTAATTATGGGTTTGTGTTCAAATGTTCCATTATGAGGTATCTTTCACGGTGCACTAACAATCAATGAACCTTGTGAACTATAGCCTTGAACTTAATATGACTTTTTTTTTTTATTGTGGCTTTTGTGTGTCTTTCTGGCAGAGATGGGTCAGACTGGCAACATGGCAACATTCTACTTGCAGTAATGGTAGTTGCTATACAGTAATAAAGTAGTGCCAGAAATAGGGTCTCTCAGGAAAGACTGTAGCCACATGGCTGAGACACTTTTATTCCATATGAAACACAGGGCCTTTGGCAAATAGCGGAAATGCCTTGCCCTTGCCGATAAACACACACACACAAAATGAACGGTAAAGTTGAATTCAAGACTGTTGCATTAGTATTTTTATTTTTAGCCAAACTAATAGCGTGGTTAGTGGAGGGCTAGGTCAGTCAGTGTGTCCACCACTTTGGTAGATTGTGATTGCCATGACCTTTTTACAGACGTTTATGCTCTCCCAAGGAAGAAACGCCAGAACTTTAGTAAGCCCCTGACTTTTTCTTGAGTGATTTTAACATTGTTCTTTAGGTTTTGGGGCCCATTTATTTGTGTATTATCTTTCTTTCTTTCTTTTGTTCTTCTCCTTTTTGTACTCATTAACTCAGTTACCAATATGCGTATATTAGATTTGATTTTCTCTTGTCTTTTTTCATTCTTGCTGCCTGGCTCCAGTTAGAGTTAGAGGAGTTCACATGTGATTGTTGGGCTAAAATGTTGTTTCCATTATCTGAATAAACAATTGATTGATTTGTTTTAATCAGGGTCATTTTGGGTGAGAAAAAGTGCAGACATATACAAATATGAAAGCCTGGTTCTTATTTCACCAATAAGGTTCTCAATAACACAAAATGTAGGTCATGACTTAATGACATAATCGAACAGCTCAGTCACACCAATTACTCTGTAGAAAGCCACTGGGGCGGGCTGTACATCAGTTGCACACACTTCTCAGGTGACAAACCTTGACTTGGAGCAGACAGGTAGAACGAGTTGACCTACCAAATAAAGCTTTAAATAAACCTAAGCATTGAGAGTGGAACAGAGTCTGTAGGGCAATGACCAAAGTGATGACAAAGAGGCAAATAGGAGATGAGCAATTTTTCCTTCCAAAACAAATGAAGACTGATGTATGAGACTGTAATTCAACTGTTTTTCCCAAAGCTATAAACAGGTTTCAAATTAAATCTCTTAACAGAAGTTAAGATATTTATGTAGCCCACTTGGGAATAAAATGGTATTTTATGTTTTGAACAACAGAACAATACACTTTTGAGCCCAAGTAAAACGGATCATAATAATATAAGTTATTTAAAAGAAAATAACATAAAATATGTTTTAAATAAGCACTGTTTATCACCAATGTGTTTTTTAAATAACTCTTTCAAATAATATTTCTTATTTAATTTGACATTACCTTCAACAAAAGGCAAGGGAAAGCACTGACATGTGAAAAAGGCTTCTTGTTATTTCTGAATACCCCATCAATGGTTATGAATTGAACCCTGAAAATTGAGTACATTGAAAAAAACAAAACATTATAAGCTTCACAAAGGCAAAGGTTGTAGAGGGGCTACATTTGAGTGAAATACAATGCACTGCCAGGTGTTTCTTTTATTTCGTTTTCCCCCAGTGTCCAGCACTTATTGTACGCCTAACCAGGACGATACACAAAGAAGAACCAATGCTATAAATGAGGTATTTGTTGCCATAATTTGGCTTTGAAGCGCTGTTGCTATGACAGTGAAGAAGAGGGTCGGGGGATTGTACTCACCCACAATCCCAAAGGCTGAGACAGCTCTGGACAGGCCCGAGGACCCCTTTTGGCCGATCTTGGTGCGGTTGCCCAGGTCCAGACGGCCAAGCAACTCTCGAACCTCTTGCTGGCTGTACACATGCTACAAACAAATACAAAAACAAATACAAAGCATTTGTAATTACAAGTGTTACTGGCTCTGAATTAAGTTTGTGGTTCCTTTCCAATCTTTTCTGTGTAATTTTAAGTAAATCTCGAGCAGGCCTTGTACAATCAATGATCCCACATTTTCTAGAAGATAGTTTAAAATTGATCCTAAGAGATGCAATTAAGTCAAACATTAATCAAACATTATTTCTGTAATATTGCACTAATTAAACAACATCTGTGTTATAATAATAATAATTCTAGCACAGGTGCAACAGAAACATTAACTATACATGCACTATACTAAAAAAACTAAATGTATTTGTGTATGTTTTTTATGTGGAATTAAATGCATTCATCTGCAATGAGTCTTATTAATGCTAAACAAAATAAGTTATTTGACATTCAGCTAGCCATATCATCTTTATCCATCTCAGTAATACAAAGGGTTCTATGCATGCACCCTGTTCATTATGAATGCTAGCTTTCCACACATGAACTGTGAGAGAGTGATAGACGAGGCTGCGTTTTGAAGCTGCTCACCTCGACTACTCAATCACAATCTCAAGCTTCCACACACTGTTTATAAAACACTCTGCTATGCCAATCAAATGCAAACCAACAGGGTTTCTGTAGGTCAGTATTATATCTGCAGCAATGAGAGCATGGGGTGATGGATATTTATTCATGGATGCTTCATAATAGAAAACACATCAAAATTATAATCACCGAACAACACGAATAAACAAATCAAATCTCAGCTCATAGATCCTGGTAATGAGTTGTAGAAAAGAAAAGGAGGAGCATGCAGCATTAATCAACTTTTCTGTCATCCATAATACACTTGGGAAAGGCTGAGTGATTGTACAATTGTACCTCAAGCGTGCTGTACTGTATTACATAAGCATATACATTAGCACTGTGCTAATTCTGATGGAAACACAGCACTTACCTTATCATCAATTAGGACCAGGTCCTTGGGTTCTGTGCGGTCAATCTTCAGGACTCTGTGTTTGGTCTGGGCCTGATTGGTCCCTACCAAAAAATACCTCTGAAAGACAAACATGAATGCGTGAATTCACTATAACTACCATCAATTATTGCAGAGCTGATGTTTGCCATATAGCCTACCTACAGTAGCTGCTTCTAGGAACATTGAACAAAATATGTTTTTACATATATATGTTATTACAAGCCATTCTTTAGGCCTTTTTTTCATTTTCTCTCTACAACGAGCCACTCAGGTTGAAATTAATGTTTAAAAAGCCTGTGAAATTATATATAAAAAGGACTCCAAGATAGATACGCATCATATAATAATATATGAGAAAATATACCATGATTATAGCAACTACATTTGTGAAAGCATTTGGGAACATATTTGATCATAGGGCTACATTCTAATATGTTCAATCTTTGAATTTGTGTCTTACTTGTACTGTATGACTTTCCGAAGTCATTACTTTTCTAACACTTTGTCTGTTGGATAGCTTATGATTTGCTGTCCTCTAAAGAACATTAAATTATGTATTGATACACCATCAGCACAGTCTGCAACGATACACCATGTATCAGTACAGTCTGCAACCATTAAAGCCATGTTGTCCTGTTCCCACTATCTTATGGAGCCCTCTTTATCCAGAATAGTTAGACAGTCAGTTTGTCCACTGTTAAATAAAATGGGCTGAGAGAGGTGCAATAAGAAATGATGATAGCTCAACTGTGACAAATGTTTTCCTATTACCGTCTCGTGTTTGCGACCATTGATAAGCCATCAATCACACCATTATACCACATAATTATTTAACCCTTCTATCATTTTAAGTTGTTGAAACCTTTTATGAAAAAGGGATTGGCAAACAAAACAACAACAGCAGATTAGAAAAGAGGGAAAGCAGAATACATTTTAACTTGTCAGAAAAACTAAATAAATATTTGGAGGTCATTTTGTCTTTCAAAAATGTGATAATCATTCGGACTGTCAAGAGTCTCTAGAGCCTATAATTGACACTATTAAAGTCATGGGAAATCAAAGTAGACTCAAGTTTACTCGTCGCTAGCAAATATTTTGCTGCCATCTAGTGTTTGCTGACGGGTGATTACACTCAAAGGTAAGACTTTAAAAATGAATTGCTCTTTTGGCAGAAAATAAAACATCAATATTTAGAGAGAGGCTTAAGAAGAACCACCTAAGTTGGAAGATTGGTACAGGATACTTTTTAAAATAGTTTAAATATAAAAAACTTTAAGGATGCAAAAGACAAATTCTCACATTTGTAATAAATGGTTCAAATGTATTACCCTAATGCAAGCTTATGCTCCTTTCCTCTTCTTGATGGTAAAATATAAGTGTAATCTCCCCTGGTTCTCATGTTTATAAATACTTTTGTATAGGGTTTGGGAAGGCTGTAACAAAGTTGTCACACAAAGATAGCTGGCATATGGAGTCAGAAGCACACATAAATATGTAGGCTGCAGACATGCAAATGTGTTGGCGTTGTGTGCAGTTGTGTTAAACCAGTATACAGTATAAGTACAAATACATAAATGCATGTGTATTAAAAAAACTAAAAGGTATTATACATTCTGCAATATAACCTTTTCCAAAAAGCTACAAAAAAATGCAATCATGACTGTATTACATCAGTGAAATAACGTCATCCATCACTAGAGTCCACATTTTCAGCAGGATCGATAGATTCCTATAACAAGTGATGAATGTCTGGTTGTTTGAATGATTAAAAAGAGTGAAGCTGCACATTAGGAAGTGGTGTGTTTTAGGGTAACAATCCTTTGACCAACACATTTTCACATTCAGCTCTTGGTTTATGTTCTAACAGTATCAGGAAGCACCAAGAGACGGAAACACTTGATGGACATGTGATGTAATTTAGAGAGATGTTGTTGGCTACTAGCAGGTGTAACCAAAGAACAGACAGATCAGACATTTAGCAAGTCATGAGGAAACAGTGATAAACACAGCATAGAGATCATGACAGACTTACGGCTCTGGTTTCATACAGAACCATCTTCTGGATCCCACTGATCGAGGTAGCCGCCGACTGAGGCATTGTTATCCCTGTTTTCTCCAATCACAATCCAGGAGGAACAACTGAAGAGCTGCAAGGCGAAGGAAACCGAATATAAAACTACACTTGCTTCACTTCATAAAATACAAAAGAGACCATGTGTACACATGTAAACCTCATACTGCCAACCACTGTATGCATCATATTTTCGAGCTGTTTTGTGGCTAAGTAGCGTGTCACTCAGTACTCACCAATTAATCTAGCTAGCTAAGTAGTTGCGTTCGCCACAAATACTCGCCAGATAAGATGACAAACCCGCATACCCTCTGGTAGAACATATAACTCTTTCAAAGGTTTTTAGTTCGTTAATTTTTAATATAAACTCCAATATTTACGGCTAGCACATAAGAGAACATGAGTTGTTTGAGTCAGGTGACTGTCGTGACATAGTTCAGTCAACTGATACGGTGGCCCGCAGAGTCAAAAATACTTAAATGTCTGAAAATGCGATTATTAAATGAAAGTGCTCGTTTTTGCCTTTGTGTTCTTCAACTCGCAGATAGCACCTACTTGTTTATAAATATTTCTAACTGTAAATACACAAACCCCTAAAACGACAAAACGTACTTTGAAGTAACCATAAAGTAGCTAGCACTAGCATTAGCTCCTTACAATGTAGAAAGTCAACCCCCCTTCTCCCAAGTAGTTTGTTAACGGTTACTAGGGTTACCGTTGACTATTAACCTTGGATAGCAAACGTAAAAGGTAATGTAGATGATACAAGTTTAAACAGATAAACAGGAAAAGTGGATATCAGAATGCCACAAAAACATGGTAAGTAGCACGACAGGTAACATGACAGGTTAACGATCGAATATCTAGGTTTAAGGAGAAGCTGACTGTTGTGTATGACTTAATTAACCGTGCATCGATATTTACTACGCTGAAGTTGACCGTTTGGTGGACAACCTGATAGAAGATGAAGCTGAGAGAGAGACACTTCTTGCAAAACCTACTTGCTTTATCATAGTTGGAAGACCGGTAACACACACAACCACAACCACAGCCACAGTTGGTATTTTCTTCTTTTATACAGTGTCACATAAACCAGTGACTTCAATTCTGTGCCTTTCTCTGTGACAGGGTGTTGGCAAATCCTCTTTAGCCAGAAGAATAGCAGAATCCTGGAAGTGCATCTTGATAGATGGTAAGTACAATTGCTTGATACCATTTCTGGTCTTTGTCCCAAAAGAGTTAAGATATCACCAGCTTTTCTAATATTTCAGATACAGATCTGCTCAACACACACATTATAAATAAAACAAATGAAGGCATAGAGGTAAGTATAACTTTCTCAGTCCTAAGACAGAAAGGAAAACTGATCTTTCCAACGTCATGTGTTTTTCATTTACATTTTTGTATGGTCTATAATATGAATCGATTTTCTTCTGACTGTCTTAGCTCTTAAATATCTTATCTGAGGGGAGAAGTGTGCCAGAAAACATGGTGCTCCAGCTGCTTCTCGCCAGGCTTAACTCAGCAGATGTTGAGCACTATGGTAATGGTGGTCACTAAATGCAAATTGCACATTTTTCACAGCAGCATGTCATTCAAAACCCCATTAGTTGAGCTCTATCACCTGATAACAAGTGTTGTGATACAGGTTATGTCCTGAGCTGCCTGCCATTCATGTCAGAAGAGTGTCTGAAGATTCATGAGCAGCTTGAGCTGATCAAAAACCTCAAGCTTACTCCTGATTTCATCATCAACATCAAGGTTATCCACATGTTTTCTACTTTGAGTTGTTCATGCATGAAGCAACAATTTGTACACATTTGAATAAACCTTTCACTTGTTTTCTGAAAATGTTTTGCGTACAGTATATGAGATTTGTATCACACTTCAATATTCCACCAGTGTGCAGACAAAGACCTTGCCCGACGGCTCTCAGGTCTGAAGCAGCACCCGGAGACAGGGCAGCTGTACAACAGGGATCAGTGGATGCGTGAGGATGTGTTTAGCAAGAAGAAAGAGAACAAAGATGAGGAAGGGGAGGATGAGGAGGATGAAAAGCAGGTGTGACTTCAGGGAAAACACTATTATGTTCAAACCTTAAAAAAGAACGTTTTCATAATTTCCTATTACTCAAATATGTGGTTTTTGTTTGCTTGCAGGCAGGGACTGAAGAACTTCAAAAGGATATTATTGACAACATGGTGTGGACACCTGAGAATTTGGACAAAAATGCTTTACATAGAATCAACATGTACAAAGATACGATGCTCAGACCCCTGGAGGTAAGTTAGCCAGGGCTCCCAGTTTTCCCAATGGGTCACATATTAATTCATCCATTTCTAACAGAATGTCACTTATCTTTCTTTGATTATGTGCATTTACTAGATACATTTAAGACAGCTCTGGTGGGGCAAAAAGCATTTATTAATGATGTATACCATTAAAGAAAGCTCACAATTCCATGTCATATCATGTTTTGTTGAAATCAAAACGGTGATGTGTGAGGTATTATCCTAGATATAATTTCTGAAAAAAAGGAAAACCTGATATAAAATTGATTTCTTTGTAAGGACTACATGACAGAACACAACCCTCTCTACCTGTTGGAGCTGGATGGACAAAACCAATCTGAAGAGCTGCACTTGGTAATACCACAAATGATAAATATATCATCTGCAGCTACAATATTACAAACAAGATAAATAGCAAGAAAAAAAATGCATATCCATACGTTCTTTTACTGATTGTGTGTTTTTTAATAGCAGGCAATGTCATTCGGTGCTGTCTTGAATCTGAGTTTGTAAAGTGCCTGTGTTGTGTTTGTCTAAGCATAAATGTCCATGTTGAACTCACCATGTATATTGTTGGCTAAATTGTTTTTGTGTCTAGTCTGTGATGTCGCGTCTTGGATCCATGGCAATCAAGAATGTCTCAATTCCAGTACTCCTCCATCAGGCTGATGATGAAGAAATACCGGAGGAAGTTGACACGGTCCGGCATTGTTGATCATATTCATAATTTAATTTATTTTATACAATCTACATTTGAACTATTAACACACGGGCAATAATGACACATGATTTTCCAGGAGGACCTAATGAGAATGATGTCCTCTACCCGGACAGTGGCCCCTGGCTTCAGATGGAGAAGAAGTCGTTGGGGCCAAACTTGTCCTGTTGCTCTGAGTGAAGGCAAGGTCATTCTTGGCAAGCCTGATTTATGTGTGGGGTAAGGGATCTTTTTTAGGCACTAGCCAGTTGGGAATCTACCCAATATCTACAAGAAAGACTGTCCATTTCAACCAACTCTCATTTAACTCCTGTGCAGCTTCCAGGACAAAATGTACTTCCTCTCATCTCAGGAGGCTTACCAGAAGTTTTTTAAGAACCCCCGACGGTACTTACTTCCTCCGATGCCAAGGCCCCCTTGCAGAGTTTCTATAATTGGTCCTCCCCTGGCAGGGAAAAGCACTCTATGTAAGCTTTTAGCTCAGCACTACAATGCATTGGTGCTTGATATGGAGGCTTTGGTGCAACCGGTTCTGGCTAAGGTTGAGCAAGAGAGGCTTGATAAAATCAAAGAGGAAACAACACAGGTCGCTCTAGAGAAAATCAAGATGAAGATGAAGCAGAATTCAGGCAAGTTGAGTGCCTTGATACTGAGGTTTTTCGCTATCATTATCATCATCATATCTTTTTAACTATTTTACTTACAAATATTATTTCACACATCAGCTCTTGAAAGTATAAATCGTTATTTAAATATTTGTAGTTGTTGAGAATTGTTCTGTCATGTTAATGTTTTAAATATTTTTATTTCATCAGTTGAAACCAATTCTACTGAAGGTAAGATGATCTTTCTCACATGCAGACAAATAAACATGGATAACGTGTGCATTTTAAAATCTTAATAAGAACTGTACACATCACAATTGGTGGTCTGGTAACGCTGTGTTGTGTGTTTTGGATTTCAGTTTGAGAGATTAAGTTTGCAAATGCTTTCTGCTGTTCCCAGTGACAGAGGATCATCCAGAGGTACAAGCCTTGGTTCTCACTGCGCTGGAAGAAGCCAAACATATGAGCACATCTCCCTTGAGTCTGTATGGTGAGGTTCTGGAGAAGCGCATAAATGAGGTATGTCATCTCAAACATAGCAGCTGTAATTACAGCTTTTGGTTTTAAACTATGGCCATGCCATCTTTATATTTCTGTGAATGTTGTTGTCAAATATATTTAAGTTATTTGTAAGAGATATATTTAATAGAAATGTGAACCATTCATATAAATGATGTAACGGTTCAAACCATATCACTAATTATTTATTAAACATCTGAATAAAGTTTGCAGTGGTGTTGTTAATATCTCTGATGTTGCAGACTGAAGAGGCTGGCGCTGGTACGGATGTCAGGACTGGATGGGTGCTTGACAACTTTCCCAAGAACGTGTCCCAAATGAATGCCTTACAGCACGCTGGAATACTGCCAGACCTCCTCTTCTGTCTCAAAGACAGTGATGGCAGTCAGGGTACAAGGCACAGACACAATGCATCACAAACAAGTTTCATTATACTTGAGTCCCTATCAATACCATCAGTGTTTATGTACCATTGTACTTCATTGTTTTACAGTTTTTAAGCGATTGTATGAGGCGAACAAGCAAAGCGTGGATGAAGCATTCGGTACGAGATTGCAGGATGAACAATCTGAGAAGGAGAAACCGGCCTTGTGAGTGCAGGTGCATGTCAAGTTTGATGTTTTATCTGAAATTGACTGTTCATGCAGCTTTTGTTCATCATTTCTCTAAATGTTAGAACCAATAAACAGCCAGAAGAGGAAGAGGCCATGCCTGCAGGGTTGCACTCAGGTTATCCAGATGGCCCTGATGTGAATGACTACAAAATGAAACTCAATCAGTTTTTGTCCGAATGGGACCAAATGCAGTCCGCTTCAACTGTCACCCACTCAGTACTAGAGATAGGTGACAAAAGCCCTGAGGACCTGCTCCAAGAAATTGTGCTTCAAATGGAAAGTAAGTGTTATGAAATTCCTAAATGTTTCAAGTAGATTAACTATAAATATCATTTACTTTAAATTGATTTTGTATTTTGAAGGATTTGTCCCATAATGTGAATTATACGACTAACAGATGCCAAGTTTGGTAAGAAAAACTCCTAATTTAGTCTGGTTTTTGCACAATATTTTCAGAACCCTTTGAGCATGTTTCCTGTGAACTATCAGCAATGGACCTGGAAAAGGAGGCAGAAGATATGGAGGCCTTAGCTGGGCTGGAGAGAGCCGAGGAAGGAAGCAGTGACAATGACGCAGCAGAGGATGAGGATGAAGTCAGTTCACACAGATGTCTTTTTTGACTTTAAAATGGAAGATGCTGAAGCTACAGGCTAGTTTGACTGCTTTGTTGTTGATTGATAATATAAACAAATATTTAACAGTATACTGTATCCTTCCTCTCAATCATAGCAGGCGGACACAACAGTCAAGAGATTATTAGGCGATTCCCTTCATTTTTGCCCAGTGGCCTTGAAGAACTCCAACATCCTGTTGCCATGTACGGATGAAATTGCAGCCAAGTACCGCGATAAGACCTTCTACTTCTCAAACCAAGAAGCCAGGGACTACTTTCTTCAAAACCCTGGTAATTTTGTTGGACAGACGTCGCCACTCAAGGTACAAGCTGACATAAAAAGGAAGAAAAAGTAATTGTAAGAGAATACAAAAAAGGTCCCTAACAAGTTTATTATGTTCTTCTATCTAAGCCTCCTGCCCCGCGGATCTTTTTGCTTGGCACGAGAGGTTCAGGCAAGACCAGTAATGGTGAGTGGCTCGCCCAGCAGCTTGGCCTCTTCCATATTCAGTTCAGGGAGCAGCTCCAAATGCTCATTAAGGCCAAGACAAAGAAGCCTGTACTTTATGCGGATGAGAAAGAGTCTTCAGAAGAATCTCCTGAGGACTTGGAAGCACTCATAGAGGAGGCCAGAGGGGAGCATGAGAAGGAGACAGAGGAGACCTCCATCAACGAGAATGACATTGAGGTCAGCTGCTTTCCCTGTCGCAAGATTTCCAGTAATACTGAGCCTAAATTGTGGTGATTATTGTGTATTTGCTTTTGTGTGTACAGCCGGAAGTGGTCCTTACTGAGGATGAAAAAGCCATCAAAGCCTATCTCTCTGAAAGAGATCCATTACCTTCACAGATCTTGGACGCAGTTATTGCACCGTACTGGAAACAGGAACCATACAAGTAGGTGCACACACACACACACACACACACACACACACACACACACACACACACACACACACACACACACACACACACACACACACTACTTGATTTAGCTGACTGAGTTTAGCATAAAGACTGGAAATAGGGGGGAAACTGCTCGCATGGCTTTTTCTGAAAGCAACAAAATCAATTGTTCGATTACATCATTGTATATTGTTTGTTTAATCTCCGTGGTTGCTGGCGCTAGCTTCCTATTTACTGTTGTATCCTATTTACTGTTGAATGCAATGTACATTAATAGTTACTTTCTACAAAAAGAAGAAAAAGTGTGCTTCCCAAAAAAGAAATAAATAATCTCTTAAATGTGTTGTACACCTGACACAACAAGGTATTTTTGGACCCAAACATTCTCCACTTTGTAGGTCTACAGGTTTTATTTTGGAAGGCTTCCCTTTCGATTCTGATGAGGTGCAGTACATGTCACAGTGCCAGCTTTTCCCTGACCTTGTCGTAATAATGTCAGTGGACGTCACGGATGTTCAAAAACGCCTGTTGCCGACATACCTGGAGAGCTGGTGTGAGCGCCGCAACCACCATGAAGCACAGCTGAATCTACTTCGGGATTTACGTAAAAAGAGCCGGGTAAGCAAGTGATCACTAGATACAATATAATTATTCTGTTAAGTTCAATATGAAGCATAATTCCTCCAGTCTGTCCTGATAATGACCTCCTCTCTGGCACAGGAGGAAAACATTGCCAAAAGAAAGGCTGAACTCACAAAGGCGGCCAAATCAAAAGTAAGAAAACGAATTATAGCCACCATCATCCCCCTATCCATCATGGGTTAACCCCTTTCTTTCTGTCTCTTACTCATCAGTCCAGAAATGATGAGGAGGAAGAAAACGAAGAAGAGGATGAAGATGCAGGCAACATAGAGGATGAGATAGAGGCCACGCTTGAAGAGGAGTTTCCTTTAGAAGAAGATAACGAATACATGGAGAATGAGGAGACTAAGGAGGCAGCGTCTGAGAGGCTGGAGATGGAGATAGCAGAGCGCTATATGACAGATGAAACCGGTCTCGCTACTGTAACGGTACAAAAACACAAAACACAATTGAGGAAATTAACTAGACAAACAAATGCTCATCATTGAGTATTATGACTAACTGTGACTACAACAAGTGAACATTTCAAGTTGGACGAAATGTGACATTATTTGCACGTTATAATACACAGAGTATGATACGTTACCATATTGTACTTTACTTATGCTCACGTGTTTTGCTTTGTGCTTTTCTAACATCAGGAGCTCTTGAGTGAACTAAACATTCCCAAAGTGTCAATTAGTGCATCTCGAAAGCTCCGGATCGTGCGGCAACAAATGCTCCAGAAAATCCAGCCGCTGCTGACCAACAGGGAATCACTCTTCCAAAAATGTCAACCCATCTTATACAGCCTGGCACATAAGCTGTTGCTCTCCTCTTATAAGCTCCACAGTGCCTTTGGCTGCTGGGATCCCATAAAGGTAGGAGTCATTTGAGAATTGCCCCTCCAGGTTAGACTTGCTCCAACTCTGCATGTTTTTAAGTCTCGTTTAAAAACTCATTTCTTTTCCCTTGCATTTAGGCCAGGTACGACACTTGTGCTGTTCAATTTGTTTTTTTATCTTACTAGTGTTTTGTATTGTTTTTACGTCATGTAGGAGAGTTATTCGGTCTGTGGCTTCTGATCTGGTTTCATTGTCTCGTGTGTTTACATTTGTTTCATGTCTGTCTGTTTTTATGTGTTATGCTATTTTTTTATACAGTTGTTGATGTACAGCACTTTGTTCAACTCTGTTGTTTTTAAATGTGCTATAGAAATAAAGTGGATTGGATTGGACCACTACTCTATGTCCTTCTAGCCATTTCTTTTTAAATACTGGCCCACCTTTTCTCTTTAGTGCTGATATGTTAACCTGCAGAACTGTGTGACATTTCCTATGTATAATTATAACATATTGTTTTTGACACACTTATCCCACTTCTACAGCAATACAAAGAGAAAGATTTGATCCAGCCTCTGCAGTGGCCCCTCAACACTACATATCCCCTAATCTTCCATCAGTATATCTACTTCTTTGCATCTAAGGGGAATCGCAACATGTTTATGCTGAACCCCTTGAAATACTTAAGGGAGTCTAAAACCAATCCGTCCCTTCCTGTTAAAATTGCAGTTGTTGGACCACCGAAATCTGGGAAAACCACAGGTAAGGCTCAAGACAGCTGGAAAATCGAGTTGGGTTTATCTTATATACTTAACCGCTTATCTTTTTCTTCTTACTTTGCTTTAATTCTCCAGTGGCAAAGATGTTTGCTCAAAAATATGGCTTGGCCTGCCTGTCTATTGGTGGTGTTATGCGTATGGTGCTTCACAAGCATGAGCACACTGATTTGGCTGTCCAGATGAAAAAGTATCTCTCCCAGGGACTAACTGTGCCTGATGAACTGGCCATTCAGTGTCTGGAGGTGGCGCTCATGAGCTCCGTCTGCAGCACTCTTGGGTAAATCAAGGCCGGGGCTGGGGGAAGTACATTCATAAACTCAAGGTCCTAACGTTTACCTTAACATAACAACACAAAGACTATCTATTCTTACTTTGATCGCTTCTTTGTTATTACCTTTTTATGGTGTTTGTGAATACAATGTTTATTTGCATCTCAGGTATGTGTTTGATGGCTTCCCGAAGACACTCAAGCAGACAGAGCTGATGGGGTCTCGGAGCATCATCCCTATGATAGTCGTTGAGCTGGGGATGGACACAGTGGAGGTGCTGAAGAGAGGCCTACTGGACAAAATGAAGCCCAACAAGTGAGAGAACACACATCAATTGTAATTATAAATACACACCAGAAACCACAAGTATGACAGCTGTTTTTAAATCACCATCCTTGAAAATTAAAGTAAAAATGCATTCTGTCACACTTCTTTTGTGCAACTGCAGGCCTCACCTGATGCACGACAGCTCAGAGATCCTTCACATTAATAACTCCTGTTACAAGCAGGAGATGGAGCATGTAAGGCAACACTTCCAACAACAATATCAGAACTGGATACTGCTCGATGGCCTGAAGAGCAAATGGTGGATCTGGCACAGCATTTTAAAGGAGGTCAGCTTCAGCATGAAATATATCCACAGCTACCTGGAGAGAACATGCAGTGGTCAGTACTAAAGGCTTACAGACATCAGTTCATCAAGGTTGTTTACACCTAAAGTAATAGCATGTGTCACAAAACATTTTATTATTTGTTTGCAGGGAATGCAGCCTGCATCAACAGACTGTGCATCACGCCCAGGGAGCTGCAGCATCGGCTTGGAGAGTTTGATCAGTACTGCCCTGTCTGCCTGGCTCTATGTCATCACCTGGTGGACCGCTCAGACATCGCAGCCTTAACTCACGCAGCTGAGTACAGGGGAAAGTATTACAAGATGTGTGGCGAAGACCATTTGGAGGTGAGTGTAGTGGAGTCTGCACAATTAAGTATGGAAAAGGTTTCAGGACCAATTCATCTGACATTTCATTTATTTCCAATTGTGTGTATAATAGAAGGTTTAAGATGCAAATAAATGAGATCATTTTAAGATTTTCCAATGGTCTTTCTCCACCAGCAATTCCTTACAACTCCAGATCAGTTTGTGACTCCACAATGCCTACACCCTCTCCCACAATCCCACCTGCTGCCACGAAAGCTCACTGAGAGCCAGGTGAAGAACAGGTTCCCACAGCAGGTTGAGATGAAGGGCTTCTGCTCGGTAACTTATGTGGATGGAAAGCAAAGGTACTCACCCATATAATGTTTGAATCTAAATCTTTCAAGTACATGATAAGCTCCTTTTGATCATGTCTTGAGAATGCATTTCTAAGACCCAAAACTATATATGTCAGCCCAAAGGGATTCCTGTGTTTGTAGAGAAATGAACAGGCATGTAGCTGATTTGAATCGCACTAGAAACAAGTAATACTTGCATTACTTGCATTTTGAAAGCACAATATGTAAATAATAATGACAAGAAATATTTAAAAACAAACATTCATAAAACTGCAGCCTCGGAGAAAAACTGAATGTAAAACTAAATCCCAACAAACATAACAAATATGTCAAGAGGTTCTTTTTTTGTAACAGCCTTTAACTCTTTACCGTACTGCTCTATTAATGTATTTGTCCTCAGGTATGAAGCTCTTGTTCGAGGAAAGATGGAATTTGCTGTTGAATACAGAGAACAAATCTACATTTTTGAGACAAAGCGGAAACAGGACAAGTTTCTGAGGTGCCGATCTATCTCTTTGTATATTTCACAATTATTCTTTTGATGTTTTCTTTTCCCACTGTTCATTAAGTTGTGCATATATAACAAAAAGACACTGTGGTATTATTTAGCCATTGCAAATAGTCTATTGAGTGAAAATTGGTGTGGATATTTTACCTTTTTTAAGGACTCCTGAAACATACTGGAACCAGAAGCTGCCCAGTAAAGTTCCTCCTCTTTGTGAACCTGTACCCCTCACCTCCCTTCCAACGTTGGGCTACCTGGAACAGGTCAGACAAACACTTTAGCATATCATTTGTTAAATATATGTTTTTTAAGTCTGGTTGACATTTATTTGCCCTGCTTTGAGTTGAGTCTGTATTTTTATAGGGTGTGGCAGTATCAGTAATCAAGGCCATGACAGCTGTTGGGTGTCTAAAACCAAAGTATCCCTTCCTCAGTATGCAAAGGTCATCACTCCTCTATGTGGCCTTATATCTGAAAGGTAGGCAAGACACAAAGGAATTGCTTGAACTTAAAAAGGATAATGGTTTTTCTGATTTGTAATATTTTATTTATCCATGTACTATTGCTCAAAAACCTGCATAGAAATGTATCCAACTAATGAATATGTCATATTTGTACAGCTTTTAATCACAAGAGCACAGATTACAGCCGCCAGAAGTACAAAAAGAAGCTGGCCATGTATGAAGAAAACTGTTCGCTCATTCCCTACCTGACCTCAACGATGAGAGGGAACTACCAGCCTCCCAGTGAACGTCCCCTTGACTTTGAGTTCAAATTGAATAGGTTCCTTGCCTTGGGACACTTGCCGGGTGCCAACAGTGTGCTGTAGCTGTCCCTGCTTTCAAAGCTTGACTATTGCCTGCTATTACATATAGTGGTAGAATTGTGTGACAAAAAGTTCATTTGAAAACCAACTGCTATAAAAGTTTATTTTATTTCTTCATGTTATAAACTATTATTCTCTGTGTCATGGCTGAAAAATATGTTGGGCCTGGCTCATAAACCTTGCTTGTATGTAGCTGGTATACTCTGTCTAGTAGACCTTGTGCATTACTTTTTTGCCTCACATTTTACAAAACCAAAAAATGAAATTAACAAAAGGATGTAAGTGTTATGAGATCAAGATTAGGTATGGATTTTACAACAATATATAATATGTGAATACAATGTAAGAGACTCTTAATTAACTGTTAAGATACTTAAATAAATAATTAAATACAAATATGTAAACGTAGGGTCTTACGTTTGTTATTTTATTGAATTAATTCTCTTTTATGTTGACAGATCGTGTTTTCAGACAGTTTGTAGATTCGTAAAGGTGTATCTGAATTATCCACACCAGACCTGTTTCTGATCCACAAATAAAAAGTATTATTATTAGACCATGTGATCTCGTTTTTCAACGCGAGACTTTACCGGATATAGAAGGCGCGAATTCGACAGGACTCTTCTCCAAACTGTTTCGGTCTGAGTTTTGTGTGCGGCTGCAGCAGCAGCAGCAGCAAACTAGGTAATTATTCACCGTTACCAGCCGTTCTAATTCACTATAACAACCACAACATTCCCAGCTGCTGTCTGGCTTAATAGTTGTTATGTTAACAAGTAACCTGAGTTAGCCAGCTAAGCTAGCTTTGTAACGTTGCTAATTTGCTGTAACTAAACAACGGTACTAACGTGCTGTCATTGTTGTCGTTTAACCTGTTAAATCCATAGACTGTATATATAAAGGTTAAACCACATCAATTATTACTGAAGGTTTGCGAAATGCATTCTTCTACACAAGCTAACTACAGCGTTTTAGTAGCAAAAGAGTAGCTGTTCAAATTCAAGCATTAGCTCGACTATGCTAGTAAAGTATATTGTTTGCTTGCTTTCAGTTTCAGTTTCTCCCCGAATGTAAACTAGCTGTCCAAGATGCCCAAGAGGAAAAGCGGCTCAGCAATTGAGGAGCCTCCAAAGCGG